TGCCTTCTGCTTCTTGCAGTCATGTCAGATGCAGACTGCATGATTGGGAGCATGGTGGCAATCCATAGGTTATTCAAAAGAACCTGTTCTTATGTCATTTTGAACCGATCAACGCTTCTTTACGGACCGATCGTAAAACACCTTCTCCCCCCCCCGCTGAGCCGGACCGGGCGATGCTCTTGCAAACGCATAAGTACTCACAATAATTCCCTGCCACCATGATTGGGAGCTTAGTCATGCTGTCCAATATTGTGCACCAATCAGCTCTGAATAGAATGCCTAGCTTATTTCTGTAAGGCCACCAATCAGCCACATATTAATCCTGCCATCAGTAACCCAGCCCATGGCATCATCTTGTTTTAAGTATATAGAGATTTACACCACCATATTCTGAAGCAAATAGCCCATAGTGTAATGATCGTCCACCACTGAGCATTACATCAAATCATCATTTCATACCCTGACTATAACTTGAACTATAACCAGCAGATAAGAGACTGCAATCAATCAGCCTTGCTCTCCAGTGAAACTAGATGAATCCTGCCATGCACCACCAGATGGTCATTTTTACTTCACAGCATCTGGGTTAGATTTCAGATAGCGTAGTTCTGTTCCAAAATATATCTTCCTTTGACGAGTGACTTCAGGGGCTTCATTAAATTACATAACTTTCCGCTAACAACATCTGGGGTTTGGTTTCAAATAGCATTGTTCTGTTCCAAAATCTATCCTCCACCGATGAGCCGCCATTCAACTGTAGGCTGATTCAATGCAAAGGATGAATACGGACCAGTTTGTGGTGGTCCACAAATTTACTGCAATGCTCTGACACATGGTGTCCAAGTGGTGCAGAATTTTTTTGCACACCTGCAGACAATTCTGGGCCAAACTATTGCAGGCTGTTTTCCTATGGGCTGATTGGTCTACTTCAATGGATGTGACCTGTCTGGTGCCTTGTGGCTGATAATATTAGTCAAGAAGTGTTATAGGCTACATTCTTGAGGAAGGGATCATGAAAGTCCATTCAAAACACGGCAGTGGTGGTCTCTGACAGGCCTCCCAAATTATTTATAACTGCTTTGTTTCACTAATAAAAATTTAAAAAATACATTATTATAGCTTTATTTTCTCTGAAGTGAAGAAAAATGTTTTTGTAGCTATTTCATGGGCTGAAATTAAATATTTGTCATAATATATATGTGCATGGCTTGCCATATGAGTTCATGGTTCAAAAATGACTTTCCATGGCCTGTAAACAAGATTCTAGACATTAAAATAGATTCATGGCCCAAAAATAGATTAATTCGTGGCTTCAAAAATGTACTTGCTTCTTGCAAACTATTTGTTTTATACATTAGGACCTAGACAAGGCTGCCGGACCTGGAATTATTATATTTATCATTTAACTATGTAGTTATTGTGGCATCTGCTTCAAATGAACTTCAAGGGCATGTTACAAATAAGTTCAATAGCAAGCAATAAATAAATACATGAGAAAGAATGAGGATGGATATATATGACTAAGCCCTTGTTTCATAGGCTCTACAAAATAGTTTAATCTTTAGGCATTGATGGAACGAACACCTGCAACTAAGAAACCAATGTTGGAAGCCAGCAGACTATTCCAGGTTCTGGTGATGGCAACTGGGAATGCTCTGCTGCCAACAGTAGATGTAGACACATTGAGGGAATGACAAGGTAGTCAATGCAGTCGTACTCTAGAAGGCAGATACAACAGACTCTGCAGACATTCTACGAGATAAGGAGATGCCAGACTGTAAAGCATCAGAATGTATCAGAACAGCTACCTTGAACTGCATGTGCTGGTGCATGCACAGTCAGTAAAGATTGCAAAATATTGGCATTAGTTGATCAAATTTTTACTTATTGCACCTGTCACACAGCAGCTTTCATTACAAATTACAGTCTATTAAGTGCCATCATCAAAAGTCTATAGAGTGTGGCATTACCATAGTCCAATCTGGGCAGAACAAGCGCCACTACAAGAGCCTCCAGGACAGGCCTCGAGAGACAGCAGCTGACTCTTATGTATTTGTCACAGAGGGCCAAAACAAGCAGTGGTTTTGGCAATGTTATTGTTCATAGAAAGTTCCAAGTCCAGCAGAATGCAAAAGCTGTGAACCAAAGATGCAGGCTTGACAAACTCTTGCTCACACAAACAGTGTTGGCCATAAACTGGTGCTGGTGCCAAATAGTCACAAATCAAAAGAAGTTGGTTTTTGATGCATTGAGCTGGAACTGGTTGGAGCACATTCAGTCTGAAATAGCATCCTTGCAGACAGACATCCAGTTCTTCAACACTCCCAACGCACAGTAGCCATTAATTTGGGTGTTGTTGGCAAACAGGTGCTGGTTCAAACTATGTGAATCAATTATGTTCAACGCACAGTAGCCATTAATTTGGGTGTTGTTGGCAAACAGGTGCTGGTTCAAACTATGTGAATCAATTATGTTCAATACATCAACAGGAAGAGGATCGGGACAAGGACTGATCCCTATGAAACGCCACAAGTGATCAATGATGTCATAGAAGTAATTCCAACATCAAACAAATTGAAATCAAGTGTTGAGATAGGACTCCAACCACAGCAGCACAGTGCCACACAGGTCAACATGTCCGCAGCACTGCAATAAAGTAGCATGGTCGACCTTGACAAATGTGACAGATATGTTAAGTAAATCAGTGCTGCAATGTTGCCCCAGTCTACTGCTTGCAGAATATCTGAAAGCACCTTCAGGACGGCGGTTTACGTCCAGTGGAAATGATGGTATGCAGACTGGAGGCAGGGCATAAAACTTGACTGCTGAAGATGGTTATTCAGTTGTTGAGCCCTAACACATTCCAGGAGTTTTGGCAAAATTGATGGGTTGGAGATGGGTTACTATGATTTGGGATCAGAGGCATCAATGTCTGTTTTTTTTTCAATAGAGAAATGGCATGGGATATAACTATCTTTTCAGCTGTGACTTGGACTTTCCTGCTGTTTTGGAGCAGCTAGATTCCTGCTTCTATGTAATTGTTGATGAAACTGCATGATGGGGCCAGAAATTCCAAATTTATCCAAAATTAGTCACTTTGGAGCTGCAAGATTTCATTTCTAAGATGGAAAATTCTAATCCGGTGGCAGACAATGATCATGAAAAGTAATTGGTAGCCTATCATCTTGAACATCCAGAAAATTTGAAATTTTGGATGCCAAATTTTCAAAATGCATTAAAAAAAAGTTGTCCAACCAGCACTTTAGGGTTAGAGAAAAGTCAATATTTTGATCAAACAAATTGATGGAGAATTGTCTGAAATGTTTCAGATTGTCTGGATATTTCAGACAACTCTCCATAAATTGATTCAATAAAAAATATTTACTATTCTTTGGGCCCAATACCTTGGTCTGAGATAGTGGGACTGGTCCATGATCTGCTAGACCTGACATAGATTTTTTTTTCAAGTAATTCAACAAAAATTTGCATAAAACATCTCATGTTTTTGGATGTTTTAGTCAATTCTCTATTGGTTAGTACAAATTAAAAATGAATTTTTCTGTTATACCAATATGCTGATCTTTTATCATCAAACCAGTGCTGATTGTGCCAGATCGGGCATGTAAATCACAAAAATTCTCTAAAAATATTTTGTGTTTTCTCAAGGTTTCAAAACATTTGCTATCTACTTTAGGTCCTCCCGATTTTAATCATTTGATCTGGTTTGTGCTGAACAGGCCAGGTCTGGGTTTTGGTCAGTATATGGGTATATATTTTGTACCATTTCTTGATTTCACTGGATACAGAGATCTTAAAGATAAGCAAAGAAATTTAGTTCCAAAATATGTTTAAATAATAAACTAGAACTAATATAAGTTATAAATTGGTATGCAATATAATTCAATATTTGGTATTGTTTATAGTATGGATATTGCCTAGGGAGCTTTAATTATTTTAGAACAAATCCAAAAAGCCTTTTGGATCGCACAACTATTCATGTTAATTTTTGACAAATCAACTCATTAGTTTTTTACTTCAAATGTTGTACTTCTGAAAAATGTTTTGTTTCAAGAAATTATTCTCATCCATCAAAAGTAAAATGATATGAATTACTAACTATTAATGTTTGCAACTGATGGAAAACTGTGATGTTACAGGCTATAGGTGTGTATGAAAGTTAGTATCTTGGAATTAATGATTGGCTGAAGTACATTCAGCTCTTAAACAACTAAGTTTTGCATACTCTGAATAATAAATGGATTGCCTACTGTAACATTCATGCATTTCTCTTTTCAGATTCTTGTGTGACGGATCATGAAATTCAAGGATAATGCTATGAATTAGTCAAACCAAATCAATTAACTTCATAGTATTGAAATATTACCTAAGAATACTTCCACACTGAAACAGTCATATCAAATGGACATATTGCTTATGTTACTGCCACATTTATTTGCAAAATTAACTTGATAATTGAAGAAAATTACATATCAGAAAAATTACCAACATGATCGTTTTTCATTTTTCTTTTCATATTGTTCATTAATTTACATAAATTGAGTTCAAACCTTGATCAAATTCTTGAACATAATAATGAATGGTGACATAAAAAGATCCTGCATTCCAAGTCCAGAACTGGATGAAATTTCTCCAGAAAGAGCAGGCTCTGCTGATGAGCCAAGATCGCCACGTTACATACGTCATGCTGCTCACTCGCCTCCTCCTAGGCTATCTGTTTCCTTAGCTAATCGTCTTAATGATCAACGTCGAAATCCTTATTTCAATTCCAACATCGAGGAAAATTCTTTAATTCGTGGTCGCCGTAGCTCTTGGCAAGATAGATGTTCAACACCTCCATGTCGAGATCGACATTCAATACCTCTAATTCGAGGTCGATGTTCAACGCCTCCCAGTCGCGATCGACGTTCAACGCCTCCCAGTCGCGATCGACGTTCAACACCTAATCGAGATCGACATTCAATACCTTTTATTCGAGGTAGATGTTCAACATCTCCCGGTCACGATCGACGTTCAACACCTTAGCTACCGTAGAATGTATTGATTCAGCTAAGTCACCTGATCAGTTTACTGATTTAGCTCCTGCACCTGTTGAACTGATGCAAGAAAAATTGGTAGGAATTGGAGTGCCCCGAGAAAAAACTAGCAATTCCGTTATAAGTGACCCAGTGTTGCAATCTTCTAATGAGCATGTTACTGCAGGGGAAGATTCGCACAAGAAGAACATGGCAACGAAAAATGTTGCTGAGCCCTCAGATTCTGATAAAACATCCTCACAAAAATATCAGGGTGTGGAAAAGGAGTCTCTTGAAGTGAGGAATGATGAAAATAAATTGAAAGAGAATGAGGGTCAATCCAAAAATAGAAATGCTGAAAAGGATGTCAAGCAAGATGGTGAATATCAATCACACAAATCTATGTATAGGCATAGCAAGGAAGATGGAAAAAAGTATGAAGAAGTAGGGCGAAAAACAGGCAGTGAAAAGACTGAAAAGGAACGTCAAATAAAGTTTGACAGGGTAGACAACAGAAAGTCTGAGGAAGGTGGCCGACGAAAGCCTATTGAGAAGGGCATGAAAAAATTGGACGAAGTAGACCACAAAAAATCTGGAGAGCTAGTTTGTAAAAAAACTGATGTAAAGCGCTGCACAAAGTCTGAAGATGGACGACGACACGGAAATTCCGACGAAAAAAGCCGCACTAAACCTTATGAGAGAGGTCAAAAAAATCGTGATGAGAGAAGAAATAAAAATCATGATGAGAGAGGCCATAAAAATAATGATGAGAGGAGCAAAGCAAAGCTTCCCTCACAAGAAAAAACGTTAGAAAATTTGGATAAACCTGATAAGAAAGCTCGTGATACAGTTTCAGACACAATTGCTTCTGGCAAGATGGTCCTTGGAAGGAAAGAGCCAACTGATGATTTGAGTGATGACAAAAATGAGAATGGAAAGAACCTTTTACGAAGTGAACGCGTAAGGTCGAAATCTCGATCTAATTCCCAGGGCGAGAACCGGCTTTCAACGAGAATGGATCGAAAACCTCGTGATGCATGGAATCGACGGTTACCTGAAAGACGTAAACGTTCCTCCGAAGTTGATTCTCCCGCTTCTGAAAATCGAATGCGTTTGCACAGTAGGTCGCCAAGAAGATCAGGACATTTTCCTAGTGACAGAAATCGTAGGTCTCCACCGTTTCGTCATCGATCATCAGATAGTCATATTCTCAAGCGAGAATGCAATTCTCCTGAAAACTCGAGACTTCACGACCGGAGAATTAACAACCCTGAAGCCCCATATCACGAATCGAAGATTTATCCCAGGAACCTTGGCACTAGACCGCCCGACTGCAGAGATGGATTGTTTAGTCGAACGTTCGCGGCTGGTAATGAACATCGTTTCAGCTCTGTCCATTCTCTCCCAAATTCAGGGATACCACCATTGTTCCCAAGAAATACGTCCATTCACCATGAGCACGGCATACATGGTCACATGTCCCCACCTTGGGTACCTTCGAGAGGGAACACTAGATCTCCCGATAGATACTTTTCTCAATCAGAACGTCATAGATCACCGTTACGAAGAACACCAGACCGATTCCGAAGAACCCCGGAACGATTGCGAAGGACACCAGATCGATTCCGGAGAATGCCGGGCTCACTCCGAAGGACGCCGGATCAATTCGGAAGGACGCCGGACCAACTCCGGAGGACGCCGGACCAATTTCGGAGGACGCCGGACCAATTCCGGAGGACGCCGGACCAATTCCGGAGGACGCCGGACCGATCCAGAAGGACGCCGGATCGATTGCGAAGGACACCGGATCAATTTCGGAGGACGCCTGATCGATTGCGAAAGACACCGGATCAATTTCGGAGGACGCCGGATCAATTTCGGGGGATGCCAGATCAATTTCGGAGGACGCCGGATCAATTTCGGAGGACGCCGGATCAATTTCGGAGGACGCCGGATCGATGTCGGAGGACGCCGGATCGATGTCGGAGGACGCCGGATCGATTTCGGAGGACGCCGGATCGATTTCTTAGGACACCGGATCGATTCCGAAAAACACCAGATAGAGTCCGCGATGAACCAGGCTTCGATCGATCATCTCGTGGTCGATCTTTCAGAGAACACACCAGGTCGCCTCAAGGCTTTGTTCCACATGATGAGAGTAGCAGATCAAGTGTGGGCATATCTACAAACAAGGCACAATTCGATGAGCCTGGGAGTTGTTCATTTTCTGCTGATTTTCCCCAACGTTCATCTGTTGATGGCCCAAGAGAAGCTTTACAGGAATCAACGCATACTTCTGGTGACGATAACCCGTTAGTAACACAAGCTCTTGCCAGCATTGCCGTCCTTCATAACGACGAGTGTCGGGCTTATATGAATATGCCCACAACGCATCCTCTCTACAACACTGAGCTCAGTAAGTACTTAGGAAGTCCGCATTGTCTTGCGATTGTTGCCGAGGGGACTCCTTTAAACACCATCATTGAGCATTTTAACAATGGTGTTTGGATGAACAGACTTCAAGAAATATTCGAGGAAGACTGGCAAAAAAAGAAGTTGGAACTCCTTAAACTTATGAAGAACAGCAAGAAAAAGTCTCGTCATTCCAAAAAGTTTTCCAGTATTTCTTCTAAAAAGCGTAGCCGAGGGAGGTCGAAATCTCCGAAGGATGATGAGACGATTGCTGAAAAATCTCCAAATTTGAGAATACCTGGTGAAGAAAAATCTGATTCTAACCTTTGTTCTTTGTCAGACGCGACGTTAACAACTGGATCAACCGCTGAGTCTGGCAGTCCCAATGAAAAACCAAGTTCAGCGATAGTTTCCCCAAAGCCTGAAATTGGGGATACATCATCTGAAGTCGAGGGTTCTTTGTCGGCTAATCTTCTTTGCGAAGTCTTATCAGATGTGGGACATAGTAATTGCACTTCTGATGTCACACTTTCAACCAATAATACTGAGCCCTGTAAGGATGTCCTTTCTAGTTCTCCACCTGATAGTAACCATACCAATGAGATCAATTGTATGACGTCCACTAGCCCGCCTGCAACTAAGCGCACTAGTGATCGGTATTCTCCAGGTATGGACTCTGGTATGTTAACTCCGAGCCCCAAGCCTCTTGATGAGGCTCCACTTCTTTCAAAAACTTCTGACTCATCATTGCATACATTAGAATCGTTCGAGGATATTCATAAAAGTACGTATTCGGCTTACGTCGCGGGACATCGAGACGACAAGGAGCGAAGATCAAAAGTGAATATTGTGTCGGTATTGGGAGTTGTCAATGAAGTCGCTCATAAGGTGGGAGACTTAGCTCCCAAAATTTCAGAAATTTTGCTCAGAGTTCAAACCTCAGATGCCCGAGGACTCGACCCTTACAAGTCGCTGATTGCGGAAGATCTTGTCATGTTAAATCAAGTTCATGAAAGACTTGTGGCCATAATGAACGCAGCGACTACGTCGTTCATCGAGAAGGTAATCGTTCGAGAATCTTTGTCTCAATTAGAATCCCTCATTTCAGTGTTTCCTACCTTTCCGAAGGCGATTTCTGATGTAGAAATAAAAGCCTGGGCGAAAATTACCCTACACATGAATCCAACAGATACGATTCTCTTTTTGAAGAAAAAGATTTCTGATGAACGACAAGACGTCGTGCAAGATCTTGAGCAGCTTTATATGGCAGTAAAAGAACTACACAATGAGTGGGCCAAGTCTGACCTTCAGGACAAAATTAGTTTCTTTTTACCATCTAGTGACGAGTCTTCGTATGTCAACAAGAGTCATGCGGTGAGTTCTAAGAAGACCCCCAAAAATGAAAACCACTCACTGATGAACCGTGTGCATCCTGCGTTCTCAGTTTACGATGATAATGAATCCGATAGTGACCAAGCACACGATGAAAACTGAAATTTTGATCCTGCGGTCAGCCTCAATACCCACACAGCAACAACGGGAATACAATTCGAAAACATTGGTACCCGCTCAACATTATTTTTATTAGTACCATTGATTGTCATCGTTTTCTTAAACAGCCTGCCGCTGAATTCTTAAAAATCTGTTCACCCACCCGTATGTCCACAGAGAATTTTAACATAAGAATAAAAGGAAGTTTCGAATTGCTATTTTTATGTACATGAATGTTGATTTGCAGCCAGATTTATTATTTTGCGATTGTTAATGAGGATTAGAAGACATTTCTAATCTCAATATTGACGCCCAACATAAACTCGATTTAATATCGTAGTTTTGTATAGCAAATTCTCTACTGATGAACAGGATCCCCTCTGATAAAATGATATCCTTTTGCTGATGAATAAGATCGCGTGAAGACTTCTCTCTCTGCTCGTATTTTCGTTTAGAAACATTTGCGAGTACTTTATTTCATATTTTATAATAATTTCGGGAGCAATAATTTACCGTTTATTTTTTTAATGGAACTTTGGAACGGTTTTACCAAATTGTCCGTAATAACTTTCTGGTATTTAACTATTGATGAACTTGGTTGTAATTTGGAACTTCTTGGTGCATTATTTCCGGTAAAGTTGATTGTCTCTTGTTAACATCCATTGCTTGACACTGTATGTACATAAAGTTAATTTTTGTCCGTGGTTGCAACTGACTTGTATTGTGTTCAGTTATGATGTTTGCATTTGAAGTAAATAGTGCTCATGAATGACTTTCATTACATATACCTGACATCCTATCAGTTGGGGAGAATCTTTTAGCTACCAACTCTGATGACGTTAATTGGATGATACGAACGTGTTTACATTATTATACTATCGTGATGTATTAATTAAATACCACCGTGTTGTATGAATTTTGTTGTACCACCAAATTGTATAAATTTATTGTACCACTGTGTTGTATCAATTTCATTATTCCTCCGAGATTCATGAAATTTATGATAATAACATGTCCGACAAATTGATTGCGCTCGTTAATGATTCATTCAGATGAAGTTTGTCTGAAATTTGGGTTTCATTTGGCAAGTTTATTTTTCATTAACTTATGTGAATACTGTGATTTCAATTAAATTTTTGTGTACTTGACTGGATTAATTCAGTTATTTTTCAGATCATAGCTTGGCATGTTGAGCCGCTGTTTGACTAACTTGTTCACTATAACATAAATTATGATGTTTAGACTCGTATTGACTGCATAAAAAGCAAATAAATGAAGCTGATGGCTGGTCTACTAAAAATCAATTAAAATTTTCGTTATAATGCAGACAATGCAAATATGCTAGAACGATTGCGTCAGCTCTCGATATCTTCACTGCAAGTTGGCGATAATACATTGGAAAGTTCAACACATCCATGCCGCTCACAATAATTCTGCTTTCAAGTTGTTACAAATATTAATGAAATTGTACGCATATTAACAAGTGTGTAGTTTGGCAGAAGCTGTTCTTTAATGCAGGTTCCATTTAAGACCAGAGAGTATTTCTTATTGACAATTTTCTTATTGTTTTTCTCTATTCGGCGAATTAGGCTCTTGATAGGAAGTGAAAATCCCAATATTAGGTTTCCAAGGAACATTTTATTATAATTTTACGACGTTTCGAATGCAACTTCATTCATTATCAAGTATAGGAAGAGTTTTGCAACAAAATGTTCCTTGGAAACCTGATATTTGGATTTTTACTTTCTATCAAGAGCCTAATTCGCCGAATAGAGAAAAACAATAAGAAAATTGTCAATAAGAAATACTCTCTGGTCTTCAATGAGACCTGCATATTAACAAGTGTACATCAGTGATTGAGACTGAGAGAACAATAAGCTCTGATGTAATGAAACTTTGACCTGAATATTAGGGAATCGATCTTATTTTCCAAGACCTTAGCTTAATCTCTTGTTTTCCGAGATCTCATCGCAATCTCTTATTTTGCGAGATCTTGCGCAAGGCGTTGCCGACAGTTGGACGTTATCCTGGAGATCGTGAAGGATTTCGAAGGATTTTTTCTGATGTGAACACAGCTTGAGGACGGGCGTCAGGAAGCCTGTCAATGTTGAGTCGAATGTGAAAACAAAGTTTCTTTTCATTTTGATTTACGGCGAATAAACAAGTCCAGGCGTGCTATATAGCGTTAGAATGTGTAGCTCAGAAAACTTTTAGTCAAGCTAAGTTTATTTTTATTGATGAAAATTCAGCGAACATCGAACATTGTTCTGTCACAATATTGATACTGTAGGCGTGGACTAGTGCGTTCACAACAGTTCAATTTTGTGTTAAAAAAGTTTTGCTTAGCTTAACAGAGTCCTTAAATTACTACCGTAGTGCTGTCAAAACACTGTTATTTCTGCAAGTTGCCCAACTATACAAATAACTTTATGCTGTCAGCATAGTATTTTTTTCGGAAACAAGAGCTCGTAAATAACTAGGTATATTTTTAGTCGGTAACTAAAGCTACTCGATTGACAATTCTACGGACTCGCCAGCGGACTCGCCTGCGGACTCGCGCAACTGGGCCGCTCATAATTCCTTCAATACTTAACGAATCTGCATGAATTTTGGAATATGAGTATTAATTATCGATACGCTGCCGCAGGAATTATTACAGAATTTTACATGAATTA